GTTACATAAATTGCTTTTATACTTTTTGATTCAAATTTACAAATGTGTCCATCACCCAGATAATGTATATTTTACCCGTTAGGTGTGAATTTACCCATCCCCTCCTCTCCCCTCCCACTGGCTGGATTTCCAATGAATGTTTTTTCCATATGTGCACATAAGTGTTGATTGATTAGTTTCAATGTAATGGTGAGTACATGTGGTGTTTGTTTTTCCATCTTGTGATACTTCACTTAGAAGAATGGTCTCCAGTTCCATCCAAGTTAATACAAGAGGTAATAGTTCATCATTTTTTTATAACTGAGTAATACTCCATGGTATACATATACCACAATTTTTTAATCCACTCACGTATTGATGGGCACTGGGTTGTTTTGTAATTGTGAATTGTGCTGCTATAAACATTTGAGTGCAGGTGTCTTTTTTATAGAATGTCTTTTTTATCTTTGGGTAAATACCCCATCGTGGGATTGTTGGATCAAATAGTAGTTCTACTTTTAGTTCTTTGAGGTGTGTCCACACTATTTTACATAGAGGTTGCACTAGGTTGCAATCCCACCAAAAGCATGTGAATGTTCCTCTCTCTTCACATCCATGCCAGCATTTGTTGTTTTGGGACTTTCTGATAAAAGCCATTCTCACTGGAGTTAAGTGATATCTCATTGTGGTTTTGATTTGCATTTCCCTGATGATTAGAGATGTTGAGCATTTTTTCATATGTTTGTTGGACATTATCTTCTTTCGAAAAGTTTCTGTTCATGTCTTTTGCCCACTTTTTAATGGGATTGTTTGATTTTTTTCTTGCTGATTTGCCTGAATGCTTTATAGATTCTGGTTATCATCCCTTTATCAGATATATAGCATACAAATATTTTATCCCATTCTGTAGTTTGTCTATTCACTGTAATAATTGTGTTGTTGGCTGTGTCGAAGCTTTTTAATTTAATCAGATCCCGTGTATTTATTTTTGTTGTTGCTATGATTGCTTTGGGGTCTTCTTTGTAAATTTTTTGCCTAGGCCAATGTCTGTAAGAGTACTTATATCTTTAACCACTAAAAGAGCTAAAACTTTTTTGGGGGTCTTATTTGCCAAGGTCAAAAAGAACCATGTGTAAAAAGCAAAACAGAAATGCTCATCTTAAACCTTCCAAACACTTAAGTCTTACGATAAGAAATTTACTGAAGAAGCTGTATTGCTTATGGCACAATAAAAACACATTTAAAGGTTAGATACTTCTAGCCAAGCATTATAAGGAACCTTATCAACACTCTACAAATTTGGGCTAAATTAATTCATTCACACTGATGGCTTACAAAAGGCTTTTTCTTAGCAAAAAGGATTTTAACCTAGATATTTTCTTTAATTTCGCATATCTGAATATCACAATGCAGTGCATTGAAATAATTCTACTTACACAAAAATAATATTACCTAAAGGAATCCTGTTAACATGTCTGCCTTCTGATCCATGAGCCTGAGTATTTACAAAGCAAGGCATGTGAGGGTTTCCAGGTTAAGATGATGGTCTCATCCATGAGTCACCGTGCCTCTCTATTACAGATGAGGTCATACCATGTGCCCTTTTTATGTCACAGACATACAGCATTAAATTATGAAACCTTGAGGATACAGGGGAACAAAACTCAAGCTGTAAAAGAGTCTAGAGCCTTCAGAGGTCAAATTACTAATCTACTAACTCAGTGACCAAAGACTGCAGATTAGTTGTTCAAGGTTTAGCTAGATACCAGAATAATGTATGCTTTACTCTCAAGAGTCATATTTATTTAGTAACAAAGGGTCAAATGAAATGAAATAACTTGTACAGAATGTTTAAATATCAGCTGTGGCTAACTGTAAATAATACAACCAAAGTTCCATTAAGGTACTTCTATAATGCACCAGTATGTGAAAAAATAATATATTTAAATATACGTTTTAAGATGTGTACCCCAATATTATCTACGATCTGTTAACCTAATTGAGGACTATTATGCTCTTAGGAAAGAATTCTATGGTAGGAAAGCATTTTGCTCAAAGAGATTTCAGAGGAATAGTGGAAATAAGATTCAGTTAGAAAAGTAGTGGAGTTCAAAGCTAAAAAGGGTAATGGAATGTGTCCTTCCATTGAGAGCATTACAAATAGAGGCTTCCTCTTATTTTGAGCATTTTGAGAGCTGCCATTATTTTTAATTTATTATTTAAAACTTTGAAATTGAATTATAACTTTATATAGAGAAGTGAGCATATCTTAAATGTACAACCTGATGAATATTTACAAACTAAACACATCTATAGAATCTGCACCCAAATCAAAAAACACAACATTATAAGCATCCTGGAAGCTCCCCATTTTGTGCCTTCAAATCTTGACTCAGTTGTCTACTTTCCTGATTGTTAATAGCATAAATTGGTTTTGCTATTTTTGTATTTAATATGAATGGAATCAAACAGTATGAGGAGTCTTCAAAAAGTTCATGAAAAATAAATATTATGAAAAAATTATACATGGATTTCAGAATTTTTTTTGCACTGAAATAAACTCATACTAACTTATCATAACATGTCTGAACAGGATCTAATTTGAGGCACTAAGGATAAGACATCACTTTGAAAAGAGCCCCTCTCAGAGCAACATGAATTCTGTTAAAATTGAAGCAAGAAAAAACAACAAATTTATGGTAAAGCTTGGGTAGAAAAATAGAGAAATCACTGATGTTTTACAAAAAGTTTATGGAGACAATGCCCCAAAGAAATCATCAGTTTACAGATGGATGACTTTGTTTAAGAAGGGATGGGAGAGGTACCTGGGTAAGGCCCAAGATGGCTGCTTCCTGCTTAGTAAAATGTGTATTCCTGGATTGTCCCATGTAAGGCTCACCCTCCCGCCCCCCAAAGTGGTTGATCGTTGGAACGAGAAAAGGGCCATGTTCGGCGTGTATGACAACATAGGGATCCTGGGAAACTTTGAAAAGCACCCCAAAGAACTGATCAGGGGCCCCAGATGGCTTCGGGGTTGGAAGGGAAATGAATTGCAGTGTTGTATCCGAAAGAAGAAAATGGTTGGAAAGCAAATGTTCATCGATGACCTGCACAACCTTAATAAACGCATCCGCTATCTCTACAAACACTTTAACCGACATGGGAAGTACCGGTAGAAGCGAAAGCTGGGGAACTTTGGAAGAAGCTCATCTGTTTCCCTGGAGAGGAAGAACAGTGCTTTTGTCTGTGAGAAAGGGCTTTGTATGTTCTCTGTAATAAAATGGGGCTTCTTTGGAAAAAAAAAAAAAAGAGATGGGATGGTGTCGAAGATGAAGCCCACAGTGACAGAACGTCCACATCAATTTGTGAGGAAAACGTTGATTTTGTTTGAGCCCTAATTGGAGAAGACCAATGATTAACAGCAGAAACAATAGCCAACACCATAGACATCTCAATTGACTCAGCTTACACAATTCTGACTGAAAAATTAAGGTTGAACAAACTTTCCACTTGATGGGTGCCAGAACTGTTGCACTTAGATCAGCTGCATACAAGAGCAGAGCTTTCAATGGAAATTATAAACAAGTGGAGTCAGGATCCTAGAGCATTTCTTTGAAGAATTGTAATAAGAGTTGAAACACTGCTTTACCAGTACAATCCTGAAGACAAAGCACAATCAAAGCAATGGCTACCAAGAAGTAGATGTGGTCCAGTCAAAGCAAAAGCAGGCCAGTCAAGAGCAAAGGTTATGGCAATAGTCTTTACAGATGCTGAAACCACTTTGCTTGTTGCCTTTCTGTAGGACCAAAGACTGATAACATCTGCTTATAATGAGAGTGTTTTGAGAAAGTTAGCCAAAGCTTTAACAGAAAAACACCCAGGAAAGCTTTACTAAAGAGTCATTCTCCACCATGACAATGCTCCTGCTCATCCCTCTCATCAAATGAGGGCAATTTTGTGAGAGTTTTCAATGGGAAGTCATTAGGCATCCACTTTATAATTCTGATTCGGTTCCTTCTGACTTCATTTTGTTACTTAATCTTTAAAAATCTGTAAAGTGGGCTGGGTGTGGTGGCTCACGCCTGTAATCCTAGCACTCTGGGAGGCC